CTCCTTCAAAATGGGCACCAGTAGAGACAGGCGGACTGAGGCAGCCTACAAGAGGTTTGGCAAAATATCTCGTCTTAGGATTTTAAGAAGAATCAGTAAAAAGTCAGCTATCATCCAATAATCTCTGCAATAGCCGGAGTGCGATAATTTTGGTGCCATATCCTCAGTCAAAAACGCTATTTACGTACCAGTGAAATATAACGGAAATTTGTCCAAGCTAATTCTATCATAGTTTGCATTGTATTGATAAAACTTGTTTGTGCTTCAACTTCTGCTTTTGTAAAAACAAATAGCACTTGTTTTAGTTAATGTCCCAATGGACCGTAACGACCGTGCACACTCTGAAGTTCGTTCTCGTAGCAACTCAACTCTACAAGAGCCCTCATCGTTTGAAAAGGCTCGTACACAAAGTCCGACTCCTCGCGAGTCAACGGCTGCTTCAGATGTATCCGCTCGTGAAAGCCGAAGAAAAGCTGCAGAAGAGATTACTGTCAAGTGAGATTTCTTTTCTTATGTGTATCAATGGTTGGTCCAAAACGCAGAGATTTCTTGCACAATCTGAATTAATAGTCATCTTGTTCAGTCAAAAAATGCTATTAGAAGCAAACTACACAACTTCAACCCTTATTTATGTCTTTATTCCATTTGTAGATTAAAGGTCTTTGCAGCGTTGGGGCAGTTGTTAGTTGCATATTCAGTCACAAGCTCTTGGCTCGGTTTCTCTCTATAAAAGTTTTTCATTAAAGGTTGTGATTGCGTAGATTGAGACAAATTCGCTTCTTTGTTCCCACCTCATTTAATCAACTATTCACGCTTTTCTATTCTTTCGGGCAATGATTAACAGCTCAACTCGTTCATCGTCAAATATTCATCTTGGATCCTTTTTCACTATCCATTTTTTATCCACACAGTTCCTTTTCCATTTCCTGCACTTCAGCTCACCACGCCTACATTCTAGAACCGACCATGCACCACCTATTCCAAAAACACAACCACCTGCAATCAATGAGATACC